TAATATGGTAACCCTGGATATCAGATTTTTACCCTTCCCTGAGGTTTGCTGTTTTTCATTTTTGAAAACTACAGTTGTCTCTTTGTTCAGGTACCCTCCATGCTATTTTTATAGTTTAGTTTCCTTTTTGTGCATGGTCACTGAAGCCTCTTTTCCTTAGCTTGTACTCAGCTAATGTTTTTACTGAGATTTCTTTGAATCTCTGGTACTAAAAACAACAAATAAACATTTCTCCCAGTCTTTACACATTGACTCTGTACTGGGGTACTCTTTAACATTTAGTCAGGCTGTTTACAACCTTGCTTTAGCCTTTTTGTCCTGATTGCACTGAACCTAGAGACTAGCTGTAGGTGACAGCTTATGGTCTTCTCAAGGCTTGTGAGTGTGTCTGGGCTTCTAAATTTCTCAGTATATATGGGGTTTTTTGAAAGCCCAAATTTCCCAAATAAACCCTCTCCAGGTTTTCTTCTCAGGCTTTCAGTGGCATAGTATATGTCTCAACCATAATCTTCTTCTGCAGACAACTGCAGATATTTTTTCCCTGTACAGTGTTTTTGAGCAAGGTTTATTTCTTTTCTATCCTAAATGAGTTCTGAGTTAGGTGAAATAGAAACAAGCATATTGCATCAGTCCATCAGGTATTTCCCACTTATTTAGAACAGATAAACACAATTCCTTTTAAGTAAGGTCTGTTCTGGTCCCTCTAGAATCAAGGACCAGGGACCCACACTTGAAACGCGGGCTGCCATCTCAAGGCTGTCACCAAGCCAAGGAGGGTTGGGGTAAAGGCAAGTAGAAGTGCCACAAAGCTTTCCTACCATTTTGAAGTTTTTTTTTTTTTTTTTCCTGATTTGGCATCTACTTAGTTGCGGTTAGCCTTTGACCTTTTCAGAATTCTGACAATGTTTGTTCTGACAGTTTCTGCTTGTTTTTTGATGCCTCTGAGGGACCTGAGCTTGGTGCTGCCTACTTCTCCATTTTGCTGACATCATTCCACTTCATTAATTTTGTTCTCCCTTTTCCTGTTTCTTTCTTATTATATAAACTTTTTGCTTTAGAAGAGTTTTAGATTTATGGAAAAGTTACAAAGACAGTACAAAGAGTTTTCATATACATCCCATAGACAAAGTTTCCACATCATTAATGTCTTATATTAACATAGTACATTTGTCACAGTTAATGAAACAATATTGATTGATATATTAAGTAATGACAACTTTATTAAGATTTTCTTAATTTTTCCCTATTGTAATTTTTCTGTTCTAGGATACTTCCATCATGTCTTTGTAGGCTCTACTTGGATGTGACAGTTTCTCAGACATTCCTTGTTTTTGATAACCTTGACAGTTTTGAGGGTTCATGTCAGGTAGTTTTGTCCCTCAATTGATAATCTGTCCACTGTTTTCCTCATGATTAGACTGAAGTTAGGGTTTCTTAGAGGAAGACCATAGAGGTGGTATCATTCAGTCACATCATATCAAGGGAAAATGCCATCAGCATGATTTATCACTGTTGCTATATCACTGTGGATTACCTGGGCGAGGTAGTGTGGTCATGTTTCTCCACTGTAAAGTTATTCCTTTGTCCTCTGTTTCCAACTGTACTCTTTGGAACGAAGTGGAGAGTTATGCTATACCTCCTTGATGGCAGAGTATCCCTACAAATTATTAGGAATTCTGCACAGGATATTTGTTCTCTTGTGTTTATTAATTTAATCATTTGTTTATATTAGTATGAAATCATTACTAGTTATTTTGTACTTTGGTTATACTCCACTGCCTTGTTCATTTTGTTGCTCAGACTGCTTCAGCTTGGCCTTTAGGATGTCTTCAGTTGGTTCCTGTGTCCCTTTGACATAGCCCATTATTGTGTTTTCATTTGAGTACTTCCTCATTTTCTGGTACTAGAAGTGATTTCAGGCTCATTGTATGCATGCTGTGCCCCAGCCCTAGAAGCAGCTGGTTTTTAAAGGAGCACTGGTTTTCTTTTTTCTTTCTTTTCTTTTTTCTTCTTTCTTTCTTTCTTTTTTTTTGAGATGGAGCCTCATTCTGTCACCCAGGCTGGAGTGCAGTGGTGTCATCTCAGCTCACTGCAGCCTCCGCCTTCTGGTTTCAGTGATTCTCCTTCCTCCGAACTTCTGAGTAGTGGGGATTACAGGTGTATGCCACTATGCCTGGCTAAATTAGATTGTTTAGCTTTTGTAAGAAATTGCCAAACTGGTTTCCAGAGGTGCTGTATCATTTTGCATTCCCACCAAGTGTGAATCAGAATTCCTGTTGTTCTTCATCTGAACCTAAAATTGATATTGTCATTGTTTTGGATTTATCTATTTTAATAAATGTCATGGTATCTCATTTTTATTTCTGTAATGACACATGATGGTGAGCCTCTGTTCATATGTTTATTTGCTATCTGTCTGTCTTTGGTGACATGTCTGTTCAGATCTTTTGCCTATTTTTCTTTTTTTTTTTTTTTTTTTTTCTGAGACGAATTCTCGCTCTGTTGCCTAGGCTGGAGTGCAGTGGTACAATCTTGGCTCACTGCAACCTGTGACTCCCAGGTTCAAGTGAGTAGCTGGGATTACGGCGACTGCCACTGCATATGGCTAATTTTTTTATATTTTTAGTAGGGACAGGGTTTTGCCATGTTGGCCAGGCTGTTCTCGAACTCCTGACCTCAGGTGACCCGCCTTCCTCAGCCTCCCAAAGTGCTAGGATTACAGTGGTGAGCCACTGTACCAGCTCTTTTGCTTATTCTTCAAGCTGGATAATTTGTGTTCTTATTATTGAGTTTTGAGGGTTCTTTTGCATATTTTGGTCATAACTCCTTTATTAGATAAGTGTTTGTAAATATTTTTTTCTCAGTCTGTGGCTTGTCTTTTCATTTTTGTAGGAGTATCTTTTACAGAGCAAAACATGAATTTGATGCTATAAATTTCCCTGTATGAACTACATCCCATACATTTTGAGAAGTAGTATTTTCATTTAAAACTTTATTTTGAGACTTTTTCTTTGATTCATAGGCTATTTGTGTGTTATTTAGCTTTCAGGCATTTGGAGGATTTTTCAGCTGTCCCTTGCTTATTGGTTTCTATTTAATTCCATGGTAGTCAGAGAACATGTTTTTTGTATGATAGCTATTGTGTTAAGTTTGTTAGGGTGTGCTTTACTGCCCAAAATATGTTTTATGTTGGTGAATGTTCTGTGCAAACACGAACAGAATGATAGAATGTGTATTTTATTGTTTGGGATGTAGTATTCTATAAATGTCACTTAGATCAGGTTGATTGATAGTGCTATTTTGGGTCATCTATGTACTTACTGATTTTCTTCCTGCTTGATCCATCAGTACTTACAGGGGTGTTGAGGTCTCCAATTATGGTGTAGATTTCCAAGTTCTCTTTTACTTCTATCAGTTTTTGCCTTATGTATTTTGATAGTCTTTCGTTACTTGCATATTTGTTTCAGATTATGTTTTCTTTCTCTAATATGATTTTGAACCCATCTAATAGGCTCTTAATTTCAGGTATTATATTTTTGAGATCTAGAATGTCCATTTTATGTATATGTGTGTGTGCATGCATGTGTGTGTGTGTGTATGCATGTATGAGAGGTCTCTGAGATCACCCCCAGGTTATTAATGATTCCCTAGGATGACTCGGTATATATTGGAGCATGGTATTAGAAACCGAAATTGGGGTGCTAGGTGTGCCTATTGTTACTGATGTATTGTTGCTTGTAGACCCATAGTCATATTTATGGCTATGATTTATTGTGGTGAAAGAATACAGAGCAAAATCAGTGAAATTCCAAGAGTCTTCTTCTGAACGGAGTCTCATAGAACACACTTAACTCTTCCAGCAATGACATGTGACAATGCAAGTAAAATGTGTATCAAGAAAACTCAATAGACATCTGGTGCCCAGAATTTTTATTAAGAGGCTGGTCACATAGGTACTGTCTGCTTATCATGTACCAAAATTCTAGACTCCCAGAAGCAATGCACATATTGAATGTAAACCGTATTACTTATATAAACAGCTCAGGCTCAGTGAGCCATGCTTATCAGAGAAGGTTAAGATCAGAACCTTTCTGAGATCTAAGTTCCCAGATGCTAATCAAGGGTGATCTTTTGTAGCAGACCTTTCAAAACTTAGTAGTCTCAGGCCTGCTGTATTATTAACCTTTATCTATATAACATACATACCATGTATGTGTTGAACTTCTCTCATTTTCTCATTTACTTTGTTAACATTTTCTTCTATTCAACATATTAATTATAATTTGTTTTGAAGTTTTTGTTTGTTAATTCCACTATCTTGGTCACCTGTGAGTTTGGTTTTATTTTTATTTTTTAAAAATTTGTCCCTATATCTTCACATACCATGAAATTTTTTACTAGATGCCAAATACTATGGTTAAAAACAGAAACATTGGAAACATTGGTGGAAGCTCCAGATGATCTAATTGAGCAGAGAAGATTAATCCTTTACTCTGAGGGCATGTAGACTGCAGGGCAGTCACTTGAATCAGTATGTGCTGAGCTTGGTCAGGGCCTGTGCCGTATTCATTTCAGTCCCGTTATTTATTTAAATAACAAAGTTTTACTTCCTTGATGACAGTTAACTTGATAAGGTAAAAGGTAATATGAAACAACAAATATTTCCTCTGTAACTTCAATCTCCATGGTACACACTGCTAGCTCCTGCAGCGTGCAACTTAATAAATGTTAATCTGTGTATCACCTTATTAGGTCATAAGCACTTTGAGAACAGGGACCATGCTTGTCTGTTTTCATCAGTAGGATTTGCAGCAGCTAGCACAATTCCATACCCTTAGTAGAAACTCAATTTATACAAGATGTTTTGTATTCTGTATAGTATAGCACAAAGGGAACCTATCTGTCATTTTTTAGTAAACTCTAAAGAGATTAGTTCTCTTAAATCTTGTCTATATCATCTAGTTTTGACCATTTCATATAAAAAGAATATACTATTACAGGAACAAGTGTCATTCAAGGATGTATGTGTGGACTTCACTCAGGAAGAGTGGTATCTGCTGGACCCTGCTCAGAAGATGTTATACAGAGATGTGATCCTGGAAAATTATAGCAATCTTGTCTCAGTAGGTAAGGATTTTTTTTCCCCACATGGCTGTCAATAGCATGCATTTATTAGTTGCTGAAGCATATGAATGCCCTGTAGTTTTCTGATTTAAAGCTTGAGATTGAAGGCTCTGAGATGACTAATCCTATTTGGCCTCCATAAACGTGCTCTTCCCTCCTCAGGGATTGATTCATTTGTGCACCTTCTTTGAGCAGCTGGTGAAGTTTTGCTTTTCTTCCCCGTCATTTATTCAGAGTCCCTGAAGTCAAGCTATTTAGCTCCAGTCCTGTGTTACTTTCTCTTAACAGGGTATTGCATTACTAAGCCAGAAGTGATCTTTAAGATCGAGCAAGGAGAAGAGCCCTGGATATTAGAGAAAGGATTCCCAAGCCAGTGCAACCCAGGTGAGTTAGTGAGTTCAAGGCAGATGAAAGCCAGAGGAAACTAGAACTTAGGTAATTGTTTTAGGATTTGTCACCTTTGGAATATTTTTCATAAGTCTATTTTTAACTCCAGACCTTTGGAAATGGTCAAAAGCAATTTTCCCACATATCTGTTACTTTAATCACCCCTCCATATGTTATTCTCACTCATAAATCCTTTTCACTTTTTGATGTTTTAGAGTATTTTACTTATAATCCAAACCCAGCTGGCTTCATTTTAGATATGTTTTGTTGGTTAGTTTGTCTTTATCTTTTAAAATTGTTTGCCTTCCTTCTGTTGTCTTGGACACCCTTTGTTAGCTGACAGGTGTTCATGCAATCCTTCCATATATTCATTTAACAATACATGATGAGTGCTAACTATGTCCATTATGTTTTAGGTAGTTAACAGAATAATGGCCCTGGTATTATAGAGTGTGGATTATAATAAAGGACAAAAAATGTATGTGTGTGTGTGTACATGTCTGTGTGTGATATGTGTGTGTGTGTGTGTAGGCACACACACACACACTGTGTTAGGTCATGGTAAGTGCTGTGAATAGAATAATAACAGAATAATGGCCCTGGTATCATAGAGTGTGTATTACAATAAAGGACAAAAAATGTATGTGTGTCTGTGTGTGTGTGTGTACATGTCTGTGTGTATATATATACGTGTGTGTGTATATATAGGCACACACACACTGTGTTGGGTCATGCTACGTGCTATGAAGAGAATTCACATGGGAAAGGAGGTTGAAGAATGACAGTATATTCTATTTGGCAAGTAGGTTAAAGAGAACCTTTTTGAGGAGATCCCACATTAGAGATGAGGCTTTAATAATATGAAAGTGTGAGCTATGTGGATTCAGAGTAGTCCAGGCAGAGGGAACATCAGATACCAAACCTCTTAGACAGGTGTGTTCTTAGAATGTTTAAACAGTGTCAGTAATTCAAGAAGGAGATGTTAAGAAGGAAAAAAACAAGTGTCAGGGAAACCACTGTAGCTGGAAGCTAGCAGGCATGGTGGAGGCTGGTAGGAGATAATGTCATGAGAAGTAACATGAGCCATGGTAGATATGTTAATTTTACTGTTGGTGCTATGAGAAACTGTTTGAGTAAATGTAAATCAGCTTAAGTCATCAGATCTGATTTACAGTTTAAAAGAATCTCCCTGACATCTATGCAGTGAATATACTGTGGTGGGTGGTTGTGGGTAGCATGAGTAGGGGCGGGGTACCGTTATGTGCTTCAGAGGAGAGAGGATAGTGGATGAGACTGTGTTGGAGGTGTCAGAGGTACTGAGAAATGGTAGGTTTGTATAAATATCTTGAAGATAGAGCCAAGAGCATTTGCTGTCAGATTGGATACGAGATAAAGGGGAATCAAGCATGACCCCAATAATTTGTCTCAAGCAACTAGATAAATTAGGGTATCATTTACTGACACAGATAGAAATTAGGAGACATATAAGAGAGTTATCAGATTTAATTTTGAACAGGAGAAGTTGGAGATAACTGTTAGAATCAAGTCCGTTTTTGACTAGGAGCTTGATCATATGTAAGTACACATGGTTGAGGCTAGAACTAGAAGTATCCATTTGAAAGGCATCAACTTTAGATGATGTTAAAGGAATGAGGCAAATGAGATCTTCAAGAGCGGAGGTGAACAGACTTTTTTGTAAATTACCAGATAGTAAATGTTTTAGGCTTAGCAGGTCACTTATGTTCGTGGTTTGTAGCTGCTCCTCCTCATCATCTTTCTTTTCCTTATTCTTCTTCTTTCTCCTCTTGCTCTTTCTCCCTCCTCTTTTCCTCTCCCCTCGTTTCTACTGCCTTATCCAGCACTTTCCCTTTAAAAACTTAAAAATCATTCTTAGGTCAAGGGCCATTGCCTTGTAGTTATATGCCAACCCCTTTTCTAGAGCGTGATTGTATGTAGGTGAGAGTTGTCTTGGGACAATAATGCTTTTAGTAAGTATTAAATTCACCCCTTCGAGAATATTGTAGAATAACAATCTGAGCTACACAAAAACTAGAGAGCCTGGTTTCCTATAGTCTAACAAGTTTCATTCTGCCATCCTACTGCTGTCTTGAATGGCAACCGTGGCATCACTATACGAAACCTGTTAATACCTCTTACTGGTCTCTTTGTTCCTATTGTTATTTTTCATTTAAAACTATCTTCTACATACCTTTGTATTCTCACTTTTCATTGATACCATTTCAAAGCAGAACTGTCTGTGTTGTCTCATTCTTGACTCAGTCTAATTGCTAGTCGTCTAATTCCTTTCTTTTTTTTTTTTTTTTTTTTTTTTTTTGAGACAGAGTCTTTTTCTGTCGCCTAGGCAGGAGTGCAGTGGTGTGATCTCAGCTCACTGCAGCCTCTGCCTCCCAGGTTTAAGGGATTCTCCTGCCTCAGCCTCCTGTGTAGCTGGAACTACAGGCGCACACCACCACATCCAGCTAATTTTTGTATTTTTAGTAGAGACGGGGTTTTGCCATGTTGGCCAGGATGGTCTTGATCTCCTGACCTCGTGATCCACCTGCCTTGGCCTCCTAAAGTGCTCTAATTACAGGCATGAGCCATTGCGCCTGGCCTTATTCTTCTGCTTTTTTTTTTGACATGGAGTTTTACCCTTGTTGTCCAGGCTGGAGTGCAATAGTGCTATCTCGGCTCACCACAACCTCCACCTCCTGGGTTCAAGTGATTCACCTGCCTCAGCCTCCCAAGTAGCTGGGATTACAGCCATGCCTGATCACACCCAGATAGTTTCATATTGTTTTTAGTAGAGATGAGGTTTCATCACGTTGGTCAGGCAGGTCTTGAACTCCTGACCTCAGGTGATCCACCCACCTCCACCTCCCAAAGTGCTAGGATTATAGGTGTGAGCCACTGTGCCCGGCCTTGTCTAATTTCTAATTCCTAATTGGTTATTTTCTTTTTTTCTTTTTTTAGCCTAAAGCATTCAATTTATCTTTCTTTAGCTTAGCAAAGTAACCTAAAGTTGCTGCTTATTAATAAATTAAATTACCCTTTCTTTTATTTTTTTAAATTGTAAGTCTTTGTCTCAAGAGCTAACTTTGAATAGATGGCAGCAAGGGAGTTACTCTGTAAATTTCTGTTTCAATGACTGTAATAGTATAGTCCTTTCCTACCTGTCTTAAATTTCCTTGTTTGTGCTCCCTAAAATTTATGTCAAATCCCACCCTATTCTATATTTTAATTTTATTTAAAAGTGTTTTCTCATTTGTCTAAAAACTTCCAGTCTTATTTGCCTGGCCTTTTTTCAGGTAATTCATAACTGTGTTTGTAAAGTGTTTAGACATTGAATAATAATGGCTTGTTATTATTTGACTTGTTTCTAAGTTAGAACTTAATTTTTTGCTGAAACTTAAGTAGCCCAGATTTTATGACATTAACTCACCAGTGGCTATATGCCAAAAACTCAGACCTGTTCATATGGCTTAGGGTTGCTTAGGATTTCTTTCTCTATTGAGATTTTTGTTCTCCAAAAGAGAAGGGCCTCTCTTACTAATTTGGATATTTTGATAATTACTTTGTTAATTATCTATGTAGCTAGATTTAGGAGAGGTCATTCATTTCTATACATTCTGAAAGCATCCTATGATACTGTTGCTAAGTACACATTCCCATATTTTGTCCTCGTGTGTGATCACTGATCAGATTCAGTGCATGTTGCTTTATAAGAATAATGTATAGTTTACTCAGTGGGGGCAGAGGAAACAAGACTATAGTAACACCTGCCAATATCTGGACTCTGGTCACAATAGAGGGTATGACATTGAGCAAGGGATTTACTTTATGTTACAATGAATTATATAGACAGTAATTTCTAAAGAATGTGGCAAATGGAGCCTTAAAATGGTAGAGTTGTTATAGAGATTTTTGCTTTCATTATATTATTATTATTAGTAGTAGTAGACTTTTTTTATTTTAAGTTAAAGTAGCAGTTCACTGAAGGATATCCAGGGTCTAAGGAGAAATAAGGATAGAATGTTTCTAGTTGAGTCAAGGTATGTTGTTGGTGATTAGCAATTTCTGAGAGTCTAATCTCTAGCCAAACTGCACACAACTATTTTTAATGGATTTGCATGATGTTGAGAAGATGAGGGTGAAAACCATGCTCTACAACTGCCGAACCTAATTCTTATGTTTCTCACTAACACTTACTCTATTTCCTTTTAAAAAAACAACTCCCTTGAACTCATTCTGTGTATTTCCTGCCCTTTGAAAGAACAGCTCTCAGAATTGAAAGAACAGCTCTCAGAATATCTGAGAGAAGCTGTTTATAAATAAACAGGAGACTGTTTATCATGTCTTGAGTTTATTTCACCTTCCCTAGTTTGCTTTTCCTACAGCATTTAAAAGATTATTCCTTGTCAATAAAACTTAAAGAAAACACTAGATCTTGGGCTATATAGGACTATTCTTTTGAACTCAAGGAAGTTGATGTTTTCAGAATGTTAATTTTCTTGTTGATTCAAAGATAGAAAGAACCAGGTACTCTGGTGGGAACTCTGCCCAATAAACTGTGTGTGAGTAGATTAGGACCAAACTCTGTTTTGTTTCCACCAAACCTAATTCATCCTCTGAAACCCCTTGTCTGCTCATCTTCACCATCGCTTTACCCAGTGTTCATTGTCTCTGTTGGGTTTACCTCATTTTCTCCGAATTTTTCTATTTTGGAATCAGCCACTCTAGTTCCCTGTGCTGTGAATTTTATTTCTCCTTTTCAGTTTTGAAGGTTATATTTATAAAGTATTAAATGTTATTGCCAGTTTCCTCTCCCCGTTTCCATGGAAGCATGTTAATGTTTTCCACCTAAACCTTCTTGAAGGGTAAAGAAAATATACACTGGAACTCAGTTCACGCCAGGAAACTGAATCTAAAACAAAAGAATTGACTATATGATAGGGCATTTGTGTAGAAGTTCAATTCCATCAGAAATGGGTTCATAAGATGTGGTTATTTTTCTTGTTTATAGAAAGGAAATGGAAAGTTGATGATGTGTTAAAGAGCAGCCAGGAAAATGAAGATGACCATTTTTGGGAGCTTCTATTCCACAACAACAAAACAGTAAGTGCAGAAAGTGGAGATAAAGAAAGGAAAACTTTCTATTTGGGCACAGACCCTGTTTCTTTAAGAAATTATCCCTATAAAATATGTGACTCATGTGAAATGAGTTTGAAAAATATTTCAGGCTTAATTATTAATAAAAAGAACTGTTCCAGAAAGAAGCCTGATGAGTTTAATGTATGTGAGAAACTGCTCCTTGATATTAGGCATGAGAAAATTCCTTTTGGAGATAAATCTTATAAATATGATCAAAAAAGGAATGCTATTAATTATCACCAGGATCTCAGTCAGCCAATTTTTGACCAACCATTCGAGTATAATAAAAATGGACAAGGCTTCCATGATGAGGCAGCATTTTTAACAAATAAGAGATCTCAGATAGGAGAGACAGTCTGTAAATATAATGAATGTGGAAGAACATTCATTGAAAGTTTAAAGCTCAATGTATCTCAAAGAACTCATTTGGAAATGGAGCCATATGGATGCAGTATTTGTGGGAAGTCCTTCTGTGTGGATTTAAGATTTGGACATCGGAGAGCTCTTACAAAGGACAATCCTTATGAATATAATGAATATGGGGAAATCTTCTGTGACAACTCAGCTTTCATTATCCATCAGGGAGCATACACAAGAAAGATTCTCCGTGAATATAAAGTGAGTGACAAAACGTGGGAAAAGTCAACTCTCTTAAAACATCAGATAGTACACATGGGGGGAAAGTCTTATAATTACAATGAAAATGGGAGTAATTTCAACAAGAAGTCACATCTTACCCAGCTTCGGAGAGCTCACACAGGAGAAAAAACCTTTGAATGTGGCGAATGTGGAAAAACCTTCTGGGAGAAGTCAAACCTAACTCAACATCAGAGAACACATACAGGAGAGAAGCCCTATGAATGTACTGAATGTGGGAAAGCCTTTTGCCAGAAACCACACTTGACCAACCATCAGCGAACACATACGGGAGAAAAACCCTATGAATGTAAGCAGTGTGGAAAAACATTCTGTGTGAAGTCAAACCTCACTGAACATCAGAGAACACACACTGGGGAGAAGCCCTATGAATGTAATGCATGTGGGAAATCCTTCTGCCACAGATCAGCCCTCACTGTCCATCAGAGAACACACACAGGAGAGAAACCCTTTATATGTAATGAATGTGGAAAATCCTTCTGTGTGAAGTCAAACCTCATTGTACATCAAAGAACTCACACAGGGGAGAAACCCTATAAGTGTAATGAATGTGGAAAAACCTTCTGTGAAAAATCAGCTCTCACTAAACATCAGAGGACTCACACAGGGGAGAAGCCATATGAGTGCAATGCATGTGGGAAGACCTTTAGTCAGAGGTCAGTGCTCACCAAACATCAGAGAATTCACACAAGGGTGAAAGCACTTTCAACATCCTGAATGTTAGAAGCCTTCATACACCTGTGAAATTTGTTACACAGTTTCAAAAAAGGAGAGTAGAGAAAGCCAAAGAATGCCAGAAACTTGTAGAAAATGACTTCTTGTCTGAATATATGAAAGCTTTCAAGAAAAGCTAAAACTTTTCATTGGAAAATTTGTACTGAGGGGAATCTTATTCATCTAAGTAATATGGTAAAAATCTTTATCTAGAATTTGTGTTGTTTAGTGTTACATTCCAGATGTGATACCAAAATTTTATTGTAAATATAATGGACAATATTCATTTATATCCATATTCACAGTAGAATCTGAAGCTTATAAAAGTTGAATGACAGCAGCGTTAAACATGTATATGAAGAGTCCCTGATGTTTGTAGACCTTATGTGAGTATGCTAATGTAATAAATTTGAGTATGCTTGATTTGTATATTGGAGCTCAACATGACTGTGAGGAGGAAATATGTACCCTTAATTGAGTAACTACTATGGTATGTGTTAATATTTTCTACACTAAATACCACTGATGTCTTTATAGGTTGATATATATATGTGTATGTTTGTGTGTATATATGTGTGTATATGTAAATATATTTCTGGACACATACTTAAATATAGTGATGTGCTAGTATAACCTCATACTGACTTAAAAGTGCTGCTGATTTTTAAAGTTTAAGGAATTTTGTGAGCCAGTTATTAAAATCAGTCATTATTTAAAATATGTAAACTTACAGTTAAATTGAAAACAAAGGTAATAAATACTTAGCATTCATCACTTCCTAATTATTTGGCTACGTTTCACTATTACCTTGGTTGTTTTACTTATATTATTTAATCTGTGTGATGAAAATACCATAATATAATTATAATTATGTGCACTGCACATCTATCTCTTCCCAACTCCACATTCAGTGCTGTCTTGTTGGTAGCTTGGACTTAGTGGGAGTATTTACACCATGGAAATTGACAAACTATAAATCAGGATTTTAATTTTCTCAGAAAACCTGCTGTCATTACAGCACATCACTGTGGATATATGAAAACATATTTGGCAATACAAACTGCATACCCCCTTTTCTATTTCCTGACATAAATAAATGGCTATGGCCATTTATAGCTGAACTGCGTATTCAAGAAAGAAGCCAAAAATATTTTTCTGAGGTTTTTAACTACCTCTGAATCCATCCTACTCTAAATACTACCAGAGTCTCTTTGTAGGTTGGCTGGTATATGTTTTTAATGAAATATTATTTCTTTTCATTTTTTGAGACGGAGTCTCGCTCTGTCACCAGGCTGGAGTGCAGTGGCCCACCCTTGGCTCACTGCAACCTCTGCCTCCTGGGTTCAAGTGATTCTCCTGCCTCAGCCTCCTGAGTAGCTGGGACTACAGGTGTGTGCCACCACACCCAGCTAATTTTTGTATTTTTAGTAGAGATGGGGTTTCACCATGTTGACCAGTATGGCCTCAATCTCTTGACCTCGTGATCCACCTGCCTCGGCCTCCCAAAGTGCTGGGAGTAAGCCACTGCACCTGGCCCAGTGAAATATTATTCCCAAAGAACTATATCACAAACCTTTCCTCTCACTGTTTCCTGGCTTATATTTATGAATATGGTCATTATTGAACTATCACTTCAGTAAGGAAGTTAAACAGTAGTTTTCTGACATTTTTCAGCTACCTCTGGGTCATTCTGTAATGTAAATGCTGTCAATAATAATGGTTTTTAGCTAAATTATGCAAAGGTTAACAGTTACAAACAGTAGTACTGCACTCCTCAAATAAAAAGTGGCAGTATGTAATGAAAGTCCCTTTTCATGCCCTTGGTACTTCATTGTGTATCTGTTTAGGCATGGTCTATATAACACTAGTTCTGCATATTAGTATTGTAGAGTGTCTCTGCCTCCTTTGTCCTGTTGTTTCTTTTGCCCCCTTGGAACACATTGGTCAGCAGTTCTAAAAGACACTGCCCACACAATGGCCATTCCTTACTTCATTGTTGCTGAGCTAAATTTTATATTTTTGTGCATCCTTCTCCTAGATGACTTAGGTGGTAAGTCCAGATTAGTCAAAGCTAATAATGGAAATTCCATTTCAATGATTTTGTTGGGGTGAACTTGGGAGCAAAGATGTTTGGAAAGTATTCTGTAGTACTCCTGGGAAAGATCTCCTTGATAACACATTGTCATGACATGAGAAGGGACTGTTCCTCTTCTGCTGGGCTTTTTTCATGTCTATACATGGTATTGGCTTATTGTTTGTATCTCTGAAGAAGGGCAGTAGCCTGAAGATAACAGTGCACAAGGTGGGAAAAGCTGGCTCAGAGGTGACATGCTCTCTTGGGAAGCTGCCCTGCTCTCTCTACCTGCTGTCTACTGAGACTTCGTATAACCTGCAATAACTGTTTTTTATTTGGTCTTAGGGCTGTCTGATACTTAGAGCTAAAGGCATTCTAGCTGACACAGAGGAATATTTTTCTAAGTGTTAATGTTCTATATAGTAATTAGGGGGAAGAATTATTTCTTTTGACAAGTTAATATAAAGATGGCTGTTTGTATCAGCCATGGTTCTTTCTGGTGGAAAACAGAATTCTCCAACTAAAAGTATTTTAATGGCAGACTGATTACAATGGTATGGGCCAGAAACAAGGGACATTGAAACACCCAGAGACTTGTATCAGCAGGAAGCCATTGCCATTCTGAGGCTTGAAGGGGCGAGGTTGGAAGCACTGTTACCAGAGCTTAGTAAGAACTGCTGTCATGGAGGAGGCACTACCTTGTAAGAGACATCATTACTACCAGAATTGTTGTGCCAAATTGCTGGTGCCTGTCTTTGGAGAAACCAACTAGATACGTCTGCAGAAGAGCACAGGTGGACACAGAAAAGGGTGGAGAGAGAATCTGGGAAGAGAAATGGAGAAAAAGCAGTATAGTGTTTTTCATTTCTGTGAATTCCTATGTAGAAGGCTCAGTGTTAGAAATAAAGTTAGTCTACTAGTTGAAAGTTAAGTGTTTTGGTTTGTTCTGCTTTCCTATTGGTGTAAGTAAACTCCCTTTGGAACCACACAGGTATGTCTCCTTCAACATGTATGAAGCAGATATATTAAATCACATTATTCATACTTCTCTGTGGTGTTCCTTATTGTACGTGGTGTAAGGTATTCTTCCAAATAAATAGCCAGTTGTCCCTGCACTGTTTTATTAATTCACCCTTTCTCATGTTGATTTGATACATTTTTATCATGTACTTAAATATGTGTTGTGACTATTGCTTTCATCTGCTCAATGCAGCTTTTCTACATTCTTTTAGTAATAGAACTGGTCATTGTGACCATGGGGTGGCATTTACCCCAATTCTGGCTTCACAGAGTACTGTGTCTTCATGGCCTTCACATTTGTATTGATCCAGCAATGATCATTTGTTGCAAAATAGACCAGTGACAACCCATCCTAGAATATTTTTATTGGGAGGTCACCACAGACTGGATGGTTTGTGTTCTTACTGCTGCCAGCAGTCATATTCAGAAAGTACATTTGCTCTATAATCTATTGAAAGTCAGTCCTCCACACAAAAATTAAAAAAGAAAAAAAGTTCTATAAAGGAAATTATCTAGGCTGAGTGTGATGGCTCATCCCTTTAATCCCAGCATTTTGGGATGCCTTGGTGGGCAGATCAGTTGAGGTCAGAAGTTCAAGACCAATCTGGCCAGCATGGTGAAACCCCATCTCTACTAAAAATACAAAAAAATGAGAAACATTAGCCAGGCATGGTGGCTGGTAACTGTAGTCGTAGCTACTTGGGAGGCTGAGGCATGAGATTCCCTTGAACCTAGGATGTGTAGGTTGCAGTGAGGTGAGATTGCACTACTGCACTCTAGCCTGGACAACAGAGTGAGACTCCATCTCAAATAAATAAATGAATGAATGGATGAATGAATGAAAAAAAAAAAAAAGGAAAAGGAGATGGCTGTGATAAGCACCATAAAGAAAAATCAAAATAGGAAAAGTTGTCAGAGATATTTGATTTTAGATAGGATGGAGAGGAAAAGACCTCACTGAGCAGGCTACATTGAGAGAGGAGTGATGTGGATAAAATCTTGAAAAAGAGTGTGTGTTCACATGTGTATATCTGACACATGCATGTAAACCAAAAACTTTATATGATTCTGTTTCATGAGACACTTACCCTAATTACCTGTAATGTGCTTTGATATTTTCTGTTGTACTGCATTCTATTAAAATAAATATTTTTTCCCATACACTACACTGATCTCACAGCCAACAAGTAGTTTACCCCCTAGTGCACTCATGTTTAAACCAGGACAAGAATTACTCGGTCGTAGATTTGTGATTTCTGAAATGACTAATCACTCCTAGTGCCTGGAAGTAGTTTTCATCAGAAACTCTGAAGGGCCTGTTTTTGGAATTGGGCCTATTTTCTGTCTTGAACTCACCCTCCCCTGGCCTAGTGGGCCTTGTCACTTCACACCCAACCTGTATTTAGCAGGGAAATGTGGAACCATTGCTTCTGGGAGGATTCAGCCCATGGGTATGCTTGATGCCTTCAACCCCTACTCCTGTTTGCTGCTGGCAGCCACAGACTGTGGCTGTGACTGCCCTGGATTCTTTCCTCATATCTCTCTTTTTCTGAGGAAGACTTACCTATTTCCATTCCGATTTTTCCACTAATTCTTCCTCTGTTGCCCAGTGACTTGACACTGCACACCCAACCTCCTCCCTTTTATCTGAGGAACTCCAACTCCCTCCTAACCTACCGCTCTTCTCAGATTTTGCAATCCCAGGCACCCCTTTCAGACAACAAGGAACCAGTGTCTTCTCTTAGACACTACTTGTAAAGAACAAGGTCTCAGATACTTTGGGAGGTGAGAACTGATGATTAATATGAAGCTATCCCTAGCTTTGTGCAGTGGCAGTATCATAGCCAATGAGGTTTATCTGAGGCACGATTATTGCTAATTGAAAACTTTTCCCAATACCCCGCTGTGATGACTTGAAATATAGTCAGCATTGGCAATTTTTGGCAGTCTCTACAGAGACTGAATATATTAAAAAAAACAAAACAAAAAAAACGAAGTTATCCCATGTTTGGAGTCCATACTTCAGTATGGCTAACACACTCTGGAATTGTTTTCCTCATCTACAGAATGGATGTTCAGGTATGTTGAACATACTCTACAAGAGTGGGTCCTCTCTACAAGAGTGGGTCTTAGCCCTAAGCTTGCTTTCAGTAACAGCCAAAAATTCTCACTTTACTAGTCACCTAAAGGAAGCCCAAGACCTCTGAAAAGAAGAGAACAGTCAGAGTTTCTTCAACTCAGACCCCTAGTAAAGGCTTGCCCTGTTCTTGTGGATCTCGGAAAACATCCCTTAAAACAGAAAAGGAAGTTAGAGAAGCTTGGAAGCCATGACTGGTGCCCATGACATGGTAGACTTTCATAGCTTTCTCAGTTCTGGATGCCCTTATGCTGATGTCCACACCAGCTACACTTACTAGGAGAATATTCTTTGGAATTTGACAGATGAGTCTTCTTCAACCCATCCCACCCACATATAGGTTCACTTCCTTAAAGTAACTTGGTTTTCAGTTCATTCTAAGCCTTATCCATGCATTGTAACTAATACATATGTGCCTGAAGAGAATTTATAATATATCGGAGTCTTATGGGCATTTGAGTTTTACAAATCGGAAATATGGTTAGAATATTAATAAAGTGCTAGATTACATGCCAAAGCATAAAATTATCCATTTCCAAA